GGGGAATAATTTCTAATACAATTTAAAAAATAAAAAGAATTTGCTATTCGGCTTTAATATGAACTTAAGAAATATATATGAACATTTAAGACGAAGAAGGATTGACCCTTTCTGTTCTATTTTAACATACATTCCTAAAGTAAATTTCAGTAAATATTTTTAGCCGTAGTTTGTAATACTTAAATATATAGGCATATTTATTAGACCCGCGCTCCACTTGCAACGCCATCTACAGATACACGCTCGGCCGCGTTACAAACTACTATTGTGAAATGAAAATCGCGACTACTGCCTAGGTCTCCGCTCGACCACGTTTTGGGGCCCGCGGTGGCGGGCGAAGCCCTATACAATTTAGGTATACCTACGCGGGGATACACGCGGGGCACAATACTCTTGTCTACGTGGGGAATCCTACATACCTACATGAAGATACCTGCGTGGGGGCCCTAGGGGGCAAAACCCTAGGTGGGGTAAAGCCCTACGTGGGTCCTAGGGAGCAACCGCCTACGTGGGGGATCTTGCATACCTACGTGGAGATACCTGCACGGGGGCCCTAGGGGGGCAAAGCCCTAAGCGGGGGCGAAGGCCTAGGTGGGGGTAAAGACCTAGATGACTACATTTTGAATTTCCCGCCAAAAATGCTGCGCTCTGATTGGCTGGTGGGGAAGGGGAGGGGGAAAGGAAAAGGTGGAGGAGTGGGGGGTGGTCTCAAGTGCCGCCTTACCTACTATTGTAGAAAAAATGAATGTCTCCGTATATATTTATACTTTTGAAAAATGGCTCGCTGGACTCAACTGAGATCACTAATTATATCCGCAATTAAAATATACAGGGTGTCCCGAAATTCATACAACAAAATTTGGTCACAGATTCTTAGAACAAATTTAGGGGACCCGTATTTTTTATTTTTGCCAACTGGCCCCCTCTTTCGGAGTTACAGCCCCCTGAAGTCCGCCCCTAAGAATAATATTTTTTACATTTCAGAACCCTGTTGTAGGAGAATCATTAAATTTGGTACACAGGGGTTCTATGACGTGGAATCTGATGGTGCAACGTTTTTTGGTGGGGAAACCCCCTTAAGACAATTTTTCCTGGGCCCCCTTGTCTTTGCAGCCAAAAAAATTTGGTCGCATATCTAAATTTCTTAAAAATTATCAGTCCACTAGAAAGCCTTTAAATTTAGAAACTTTTTGTCCCTTTATACTTTTTTCGTAAAACGCAATGTTTTCAACAAAAATGTCATAATGTGATCGAATGCATATCGTGATTCGCCATTTTCCTCAAAAACATTATGTTTTACGAAACAAATATCAAGAGACAAAAAAGTTTTTAAATTTAATGACTTTCTAGCTAATAATTTTTGAAAAAATCAAATTTGCGACCAAATTTTTCGGGTTCCAAAGATAAGGGGGCACACGAAAAAGTGTCTTAAGGGGGTTTCTCGCCATAAAGCGTAGCACTGTGAGATTCCACATGTCATAAAACTCCTATGTACCAAATTTAGTGATTCTCGTACAACATGGTTTTGAGATATAAAAAAGACTTCTTAGAGGCAGATTTCAGGGGGCTGCAACTCCGAAAGAGAGGGCCAGTTGGCAAAAAGAAAAAATATGGGACCCCTAAATTTGTCTTATGAATCTGTGACCAAATTTTGTTGCATGAATTTCGGGACACCCTGTACGTGCACATATAAGATCTGCATCATATATATAATTTTGATATAATTCTTGTTAATTGATGAAGGGAATGGGGTTACAAGTGTCAAAAGCGTAAGTGTTGGCAGTTTATGCATTTTTAGAATAAATTTTCATAATTATTNTTTCTTCTCTTTCCGTATCATCGGTTTCATCTCCATTTAATAATTCTTCAAAATATTCTTTCCACCTGTTCAATATTTCGTTTTCTCCTGCCACTATCTTCCCATTCTTATCCTTATAAAACACTGGTCTTGGTTGATACCCCCTTGTTTCATTCTTCACTCCTTGGTATAAATTCCTAATATTGTTATTTCTTAACTTTTCTTCTATTTGTTCCAATACCGTTTCATAATTTTTCCTTTTCTTATTTCTTAGCACCTTTTTAGTTTTCCTTCTTTGCTCTTCATATTTATTCTTTGCTTCCTCCGTTCCTTCTTGTAGCATCTTTTGTCTCAATTTTCTTCTAGTTTCTAGCTCCTCCTTACACTCATTATCAGACCATTCTTTTTCCTGTTTCTTCACTTTTTTCCTGTATTTTCCACCTGCTCTTACTATTTTTGTTTTTATTCCTGCCCACATTTCTTCTATAGTTGTCGTTTCATTAGTATTATTACTGCTACTTAATTCTCTACTTAGATTGCTTTCATATTATATTTTTTCCTCTCTGGTTCCTGGCCTAGCAACTACTCTATTTCTTATTTTTTCCCTAAATAAATAACAAACCTAACCGCCAGAAATATAGCAGCTGCCAATCATATATTAGGGTTTTATAAAAATTTACTACTATTTAAGTTAATGTTTGTAGAATAGTGAATAAATTTACGAACTAACACGAACTCAAGTCGATTGCAGCACAAAGTACCAATTCAGAGAACTCTTGCTTTATGAATACGAATTCTACTGTAGAATACGATTCATAGAACTTTATAGTGTACAGAGTGTCACTGCTAATTACATAGTTTATAAGAGTGCAAGAGCAGTGTTACCACTACAATAGTTTCTAATATTATAAAAATTACATTTGGCGCAGGATCTGAAATTTTTCATTTAGCTACGTCACGATTATAATTTTTTTATGACTTTTTATGGTGGGATTTGTGTTTTTTTTTAGAATAAATTTTCTTAATTATTTGACATTTTGTATTTATTATTTTTGCTGGATAATCAAATTTACACTATAAATAATCTATCTGACAAAATTGTTGCGTGGTCACACAAGGCGACGTAACAAGTTTATCTGAAATTAACAAACAACTTTCATAATCTGACCACTGCAGCTCTTAGTCGATACAGTTATTTCAGTATTTCATCTTTGAGTGACTGACTTTGGCCTCTGTGTAGTTTCTGGTGAGTAATAAGGTTACCTCTGTGCTTGGTTTTGTGTCCACAGGTATGACACTCGTACTGCGGGACTTCCGAAACGTCTTTGTGCTGTATGCTATGCCTTGCAAGACCCTGTTTATATTTAGTTTTAAAATCGCACCTGTCACATTCGAATGTCGGTGTGTCAGAAATGCTTTTGTGCTTCAGCAGGTGTTTTTTGAAATTGTGCTTTTCCCTGATTTCAAAGCCACATATGTGGCACTTATACAATGGCATTTGTGAAATGTCTTTGTGCATTAGCTGATGCCTTGGAAGATCCTGTTTATATTTAGTTGTGAAGTTACACTCGTTACATTTAAATGTCCGTGCGTTAAAAATGCTGTCGTGTTTCAGCAAGTGGGTGTTAAGATTGGCTTTTTGCACGGTTTCAAAACCACATATATCGCACTTATGCAGTGGCACCTGTGGAACACCTTCGTGAAGTACTATATGCATTTTAAAACTCTGTCTATGTTTGCTCCTAAAGTCACATTTATCGCAATTGTACGTAGGCACCTCTGAAATGTTTTTGTGTGTTAACTGATGGCCTGTAAAGCTGTTCTTATATTTGGTGCTGAAATCACACGTATCACACTTGAACAGTGATGTGCTAGTGTAATCTCTATGTATCAGTTGATGGCCTAATAGTTGGTCCTTACGTTTGCACTTATAGTCGCAGGTATTGCATTCGTACATTTGCACCTCAGATGTACTTTTGTGCATCAACTGATGCCTTTCAAGATGGTATTTACGTTTTGCTTTAAAGTCGCATGTGTCACATTCATACGGCCGCAATTCAGAACTGTCTGTGTGACTTAGTTGATGGCGCAGAAGGTATCTTTTCTGCTTGAACTTCGCACCGCATGTGCAACATATGAACGTCGGCTCCTTGGAGTAATCTACGTGCACCAGTTGATGTTTTGCGATACTTTGTTTATATTTGGATTTGAAATTGCACGTATTGCAGTGGTACATTTGCACCTCAAAGGGACTTTTGTGTTTGAGTAGATGCGTTCTAAGGTGGCACTTACGTTTCACTTTGAAGCCGCACGTATCGCATTCATATAACCGTGGCTTAGAAATGTCTTTGTGATTTATTTGGTGGGGTGAAAGGCTGCTGTTGAGCTTGGATTCGAGTTTTAATTTATCATTGCCCTTGATTTTGTAACCACATGTATCAGGTTTGTTGGAGATCGTCTCTGATATGCCTCTTATGTGCTTTCTCTCGCAGTTAGTTTTAATTTCGTATTTATCATTTTCATCCACTTCCGTCAAATTTTGTAAAGAATTACTCTGGTTTATGCTGACTGAAGATTCATTGTTGTTATATAGGGGAGAATCGCTGGAAAAATTATAACTTGCTTATAATTAAGTGCATACAGGGTGTTCAGAAACGAACGGTTAGCTTCCTTATTAATCTACTTTAAAGATATTACGCTAATTCACACAAATTCAAAAATATTTTTCTAAAAATTCTTATCGAATAAAGTCAAACAATATTTTAATTGATATAATGTATCAGTAAAACTGAACGAACATTTATTGCTAATTTTCTTGAAAATGGTAAATTGCAGCAACATTTCAGCATTTCTAAGTTATTTTTGACTTTATGAGCAACATGCTGTCGAATATTGTCATTTTGAGAATAATTTAAATCAGCTTAATATCTTTAAAGAAAAGTATGAGTTGATATTAGAAAAATGTGTAGCTTTTAAGAAATAAAGTGTAAAGCGAGACAGTTATTGAAAACTTACCTATCTTCATTGTTTTCTTCAGATTTTATTTCAATCTCTTCAGTATCAATATATAATCGATCCCCTGTAGTTTTACCATCACAAATTTGCTCGTCTATATCTGAACACATTTTTAAAAACCTGCCATGAGTGTTCAGAGAATCAAGGCAAGCTGTACAAATAACTGGATCCTCGGTGGAATTAAAATTCTACAAAAGATACCGTAAACATAACTTTTTCAAGCCTATAGCGATATGTCAGCAATGTTTCAAATATAATATACATACTACTTCCGGAATATATTTAGTGATTATGTCAAAATCCACATCTTTTACTGATGTAAATCCACAGGTGTCTAACTGCATACACAATCGACAAAGTTTTTCGTCTTCCAATAAACCTCTTAAGTGTTCCTTACCTCTTCCTTTTAGATAAATATCTTTTAAATCAACTGGTGCCACATTTTCAGAACTAACGTGAGGAAAAATACTATCCTCAGTGTCTGTACACATCGCTTTAAATTGAAATGCCTCAAATAGTCTGATGGAACAAGTACTGCATATTATAGGCTTAATATTTTCTTCTATTCTCTAAAATATGATTAACGTGGAAAGAAGACACAAAATGTAGTATACACTACGCATTTTCTTACCAGTTTCAACAGAAGAACCTCTAGAACTTCTTTAATAGTCTCTTCTATTATTTTGAAATTCCCATCTACTATGACGTCGAGGCAAAGCCTGCAGAATGTTTTAGCAAAGTTTTCCATTTATACTACCTTATAGAATTTATTCGGGCATTTGTTATTATACCCATAAATTACTAATTACTACGTCAACATATAAAATTATAAAAATTATAACCTAATAAAACAACATTAGTTGCATTCGACTGGACTATCGACACACAACTCTAACAAACAGGGAGGGACTTACGTTTTGGCAAAATTATACCTATCGGCAACTTATATCAGTTCAGAGTAACTCTAAGTTAGTATTAGCTATTAATGGCTACTATTTTTGCCAAATCGAAAAGCCCTAGGGATAGCACTTCGGAGAAGTGCGTTCTTTTCGGAACAGGTACAAATGAAAATTTGAAGGTGCTCCCCAAGGATATTTATAATGTATTATAATATCCTTGGGTGCTCCCAAGAAGACTGGATAGAGCCAGAGATATATAGATAGAGCACGAACTCATGCTACGGGAAAATTAACAAAATTTGTCAATATGATAGTAGAAATACTAGACTAGAAATTACTTATAGTTTTTACCGCTGGAGTCACTACTGTTCCTTGTGCACCGACATATTTTCATTATTTATTAATTTATTTATCTAATTCAAAGTAGCCTATATTATTTATTTTAAAATTTTTAAAGAACTCTAATAAATTTTTATAAATATATTAACGATAGAAGGTAGGATATAAAAATACATAGGTCTCTCAATATTGTAGGAAATAATTTTGCCTACAAAGAGATCGACAAAGTTAAGGTGATTAAGTCGTTTTCAGATGCATATAGAAATATATGTAACTGAAAGAAGAAAATTTTTCCTTCTTATTGACCATAAAACAGTCCATTTATTAAACAACCAATAACAAGCAGGACATACACCAAACACAAGAACTGGAAGTTTACATATTTGTACCCGGCCTTAGACATAATAAATGAATCAGAAACTACAGAAACATTTTTAACTGTACTTTAACTCCTAGAAAATCAGTACTAGAGCTGTTTGAAATCAGTATTTATTGTAAACATTGACGTATCTTACACGTTTTTTTATTTTATACAAATTTAAATTAATATGTTGTAATAATTTTTTACTTGTCTTTATATCTGTGTTTTTATTATTTACCAGTAGGTATACAAATAAATTCGCAGTTTGTAGAAGACGATAGTAAAAACAAAAACAATTAATTTTTGTAAGATGTACTTCTAAACAATTTAAATTTACCGCCAGATATAATTTTTATATCACCAAGAGATGGCCAAATATTGTCCATTAGCGTTTTATGAATACTATTGGTTGGTATTCTAGGGTATTGACTGTATTAAAAACACTTTTGCTGATTCAAAGTAAAAAATATGAATATAAAGATTATATAGGGCGATTCAAAATTCCGTACAAATAATTTAGGGGTATATTTTTGAGGTCAAAAGAAGACCTTTTTCCTATAAACATGGATCCACAAATGCTTAGATTTCGGTATACAGGATGTTAGTTTTTTATTTTAATTTTTTAGTAATAATTTCCAAACAAAAATGTTGGCATAAACTTGAGGTACTACAGTTTTTTAGAATGCTAAATTTAAATATTTCATTGGTTTTGATGCTGATTGAACTGGGTGCCACCTATAAGGGTACGCTTGAATTAAATTGGCCCTAACTTTTTTGCTACCTTGTACATTGACGTTGCATACTAGACTTTCCCCTATCAATTTTCAACAAAAAAGGTATACTTGTTGGAAATCTCTCAGGCCAACCGTTTCTGAGATATTGGCTGATGAAGAGTCCAATGCACACCATATTTTTAAATTTTATTAACTATTTACCGTGAAAAATTTTCAAATTTATCCACCATCTAATCAGTAATGCAATGATCTTCAATTTTGGCTCTAAATTTTTTTTATACAACTAACCGTTTTCGAGAAAATCACGGCTGACTAAACGATAGTATTGTAACTTAAACAAACTGGAAAATAACTATTTATCTTCATTAATATTGCGTTACCTTCTAAATTTTTTGCACTTTATCGGAGACCATTGTTTATTAATACAAAGCAGAGTAAAGAAATGAAGCAAATAGAAATTTTTACAAATGTAATCAATATTTCGTACCCCCTAGTAACTCTCACAGAAAATTTTTGTACGATGCCCATGGATGTTCATAATGTGACACCTTTTTCCTGAAATGTCACGTCACAAATGATATCAGTTTCCACAAAGTGAATTAACTGTAACTTTTTTATGTTTACTGAATAATCCTGAATAACATCCCTACTTTCCATAATATTTGTGTATTAACTGATGTCTTGATATCTTGAAAGGTGCTTCTTTTGTTTAGTTTTGAAATCGCACGTGTGACAATGGTACATTTGCACACCTAATACAGGGCCTGTGTTTGAGCTGGTGTCGTGTAAGGCGGTCCTTACGTTTGGTATTGAATGTTACGCATTCGTACGTTCTTATTTTAGAAATGTCTTTGTGAATTAGCTTATGGCGCGAAAGATTACTTTTGTGCTTGTACGTCATATAGCAGGACTGACATTCATATACAGACTTTGGAATAATCTTTGTGTGCCGCTAGATGATTTTTGAGAGACGGTTTATATTTAGTTCTGAAGTCGCATGTATTGCAGTGGTACATTTGCACCTCAGACAGGCTTTTGTGTTTGATCTGATGTCGTGTGAGAAGATCATTACGATAAGCTTTGAAGTCGCACTTATCACACTTGTACACCGTCTTCTTAGAAATGTCTTTGTGAACTAGCTGATGGCGTGAAAGATTACTTTGGTACTTGTACTTCATACAACATAACTGACATTCATATATCGACTCTTTCGAACAATCTTCGTGTGACAGTAAATGACTTGTGAGAGATTGTTTATATTTAGTTCTGAAGCCACATGTATTACAGTGGTACATTTGCACCTCAGACGGGCTTGTGTGTTTGAGCTGATGCCGTGTGAGACTGTAATTATTGCAGGATATGAAGTTGCACGTATCACACTTGTATGTTTGCCTCTCGACCAGACTTTCATGTTTGAGCTGGTGTCGTGTAAGGTGGTACTTATGTTTGGCTTTGAAGCCGCATGTTATACATTCATATGTTCCTATTTTAGGAATGTCTTTGTGAATTAGCTTATGACGCAAAAGACTATTTTTGTGCTTATACTTCATACGACATGACTGACATTCATACATCGACTCTTTAGAATAATCTTTGTGTGACAGTAGATGATTTCTGAGGGACGGCTTATATTTAGTTCTGAAGTCACATGTATTGCAGTGGTACATTTGCACCTCAGACGGGTTTTTGTGTTTGACCTGATGTCGTGTGAGAAGATCGTTACGATAAGCTTTGAAGTCGCACTTATCACACTTGTACAACCGCTTCCTAGGATCTTTGTGACTTTTTTGATGGCGTGAAAGGTTGCTCCTGTGCTTGTATTTCAAATCGCATGCATGGCATTTGTACAGATTAAATTTTAAATTACCCTTCTGCTGGATGGTCCATTCGTGATCATTACGGAGAGCAGAGTCACTGGAAAAATCATTAAACAAATGAAAATATCACAAGTAGCATTAAAAAGTTATAACCCAATGTGGCAATTGGGTTCAAATTGTGTTTAAGTGATGTGATCATGCTATTTTCAATTTGACAAGGATAATTTGAAAAATTCTAACACACGAGTTAACATGGAATTAAAAATACTTCAGACATATACAGGGTGAGTCATAATTAGGTGTAAAAAATTTAACTGAAACTTCTCGTCAAAACAAAATAATTGTTCAAATAAACCTTCTTATAAAGATACACTTTGGGTAGTTTATTGACTATTTGTTGGCGGCAACATGTTATCAATAATACAGAGTTTTAGAACCACTTTTAGGTAATTGTATGATGCTTCTGGTTCATTAACGTTACATAATTTTAACTGGATTCTCAAATAAAGGCTCTTAAATCTCTCTTAATACTTAGTATTATTACATTTTGCATTTTGCTTCTTTGTGCAAATTATTAAGCAGTGCATTGTGCGAATTCTCAGAAAACGTTTTCAACTTTTTTCATTAAAATATTCTACAAAATCACTACCTCTTTTATAATTAGTTGAAGAATTAGTTGTATGAAACTTTTAAAATCATTTAAAATTAACTTTAGATTTAATACCGAAAAATAACCTTAAATTAGTCTAGTTCCATTCCTGAAAACATGGAATATCCCTTGAAACCTACCTATCGTTATCGGGTTCCTCAGATTTTATTTCAATCTCATCAGTCTTAGCACACAACAGGCTCTCTTTGTCTCCATGAAAATTTTTTATTTGTTCCTCAACATCTAGACACTTTTTTATTAAACTGCTGTGAGCGTTCAGAGAATCCAGACAACCTGCACATACCACCGGCTCCTTGGTGGAATTAAAATTCTATAAAAGACGCAATGTCTCAATAAAGTAAAGTGAAATCTATATAAAAAAAAATGTGTTTCTAATATAAAAAACTATACATACTATTTCTGGGATACATTTTTGGATTATGTCAATTTCCACATCCTCTACCGATGTAAATCCACAGGTGTCCATCTGCATACACAATCGACAAATTCTCTCATCTTCCAATATGGCTCTCAAATGTTCTTTACCCCGTATCTTGAGATATATCTCTCTTAAATCAACAGATGCCACGTTTTCAGAATTAACGTAAGGAAAAATACTATCCTCCGTGTCCATACAGGTTGCCTTGAACTGAAATGCCGCCAATACTGTAGTGGAACAAGCAATGCATATTACAGGCTCTGTTTTTTCTTCCGCACACTAAATCAAATATTATCATGAAATATGACTCAGTTTTCAAAAATTTACAGAATACAAGGTACAATACAAATTTTCTTACTAGTTTCACGAGAAGAATCTCTAGAACTTCTTTAATAGTTTCTTCTATTACTTTAAAATTTCCATCAGTTATGACATTGCGGCAGAGCCGGCAGAACGTTTTCGCGAAATTTCCCATTTATGCTTTTTAAAATCGGGATAAACTCACACAAAAAAAATAACCTTACATCCTTATCACAGAACACCACTAACTTACAGAATAATAGGTTTATTGTTGTTTACCGGTATT